GTGGGCCAGGAGTGGGAGGTGTAAAGGTGGGAGAGTGGCACGACAGGGTGAGAGGAGTGGGAGAGTGGGAGGGTGGGTAGGACGTGGTAGGAGTGGAGGAGGAGTGGAGGAGTGGGCAGAGTGAGCAAGGAGTGGGAGAGTGAGAGACCGTGGGGAGGAGTGGCAGGAGTGGAGGAGGTGAGAGGAGTGGCAGGGGGCGGAGGTGGCAGGAGTGGGAGGAGTGGAGGGGGCAGGAAGGTGGGAGTGAAGGTGAGAGGAGTGGGCAGGAGGTGGGCAGAGTGGGCAGGAGTGAGAGGAGTGGGAGGAGTGGGCAGGATCATGTGGAAGTGAGGAGGAGTGGGAGAGTGGCAGGAGTGGGAGGAAGGCGTGGAGAGTGGGACGGAGTGGGCACGGATGTGGAAGTGGCAGAGGAGTGCGGCAGGAGTGTGGGCAGGAAGTGGGCCGGGACGTGGGTAGGAGTGGGCAGGAGTGGGCGGGGAGTGGGTAGATGGGGCAGGACGTGGCGGGAGTGGGTATGAGTGGGCAGAGTGGGCAGGAGTGGGGAGGAGTGGGCGGAGTGGGCGGGAGTGGGAGGAGTGGGCAGGAGTGGTAGGAGTGGCAGAGTGGGTTAGGATGGCAGGACTGTGGCAGGAGTGGGCGCGAGTGGGCGGAGATGGGTAGAGGTGGGAGAGGGGCAGGGGGAGTGGGTAGGAGTGCGCAGTGGCAGGAGGTGGGCAGAGTTGAGGAGAGCAGGGCCAGGAGGTCCGTCCAGGTGCCTGGCTGAGCCCCTGCCAGTGGCATGAGGAGGGCCCCGGGGTGGGACGGGCTCGGATTTTAGCTGGGGGCTGGGTCCCTCCCAGCCTTGCAATCCACATCCTCATCTGCACTGTAGCTACTTCCTGGCACCCTCACACTCCCTCGAGATTTGGGGGGTGAGGGGCGCTGGGGTGCGATGGGCCCCCTGCATGCTGCGCGGCTATGCCCATGGGTTGGGAGTGCAGTGCGGAGGGCCGGGGTTGCAGCACCTGCCTCTCCCCTCTGCCCAGGCCAAGGGTCTGCCTGGCAGCTCAGCAAATCCCTGGAGAGAGAACAAGCACAGAAGGAAAGTTCAGGGGTGCTGCGGCAGTAGAGGCCATCCTCAGAGCCTAGGCCTCAGGGGACAGGACGGGGTCCTGCTCCCTCAGGGGAGGTGGCCCTCCCTGGAGTGAGAGTGCAGCCCAGGAGCTGCGGAAGCCCATGGAGCCCACGGAGCCTCCTTCATCCGGTACGAGTCCTGCACCAGGCTCCGTCCCAGGCGGGC